GCAACTCTCCCAGCCCTGGCGGGGTGGTCGCATCGGCTTCGGACCAATGGCGAGTTTAGCACCCAGGCGTATGCGGAGGCTACCAGGTGGAGCTCAATTTCTACACGATCAGGGAGAGGTGTGCTCACTACTCCATTGGGGGTGGGGCCATGGCTCAGCGCCCCCCTAGTCCTCTCAGGCGAGGGGCCGCAGAGGTCACCAGCAGGTGCTTCAGCGCCTTTTGAAACAATGACACGGAAGAGTGTGCTCTTTTTTTCAGTACGTTGAATTGTGGCTCTTGGGGGAGTTTCAAGGATGTTCAGGCTTAGTGCAGGAGATGAGGTCATGTTGCAGGAGGCCATTTTGCGCGGCGCCTCCTACGACTCGGCGATGGAGAGTATTCAGGCAGCGGGGTGACGGCCGTTCTCCACCCCTGCATGCGACGGCAAACGAGGTGGGCCGAGCGGAGGGGCCACTCTTCTCGTCTAAGGGCACGTGCCGTTGTGGGCCGCGGGCAAGACGGAACCCATCCCACGTCACGCAGCTGGTTTTTCATTATGATTCAGTTGGGCGCAGTGGCAGTCTACGCGGTGTATTTTTACAGCGGCGAGGGTTTCTCGGCGAGAAGCCGTGCTAGTTGGGCTGCAAACTGCGAAGGTTGGGCATCGCATTCTTATCCTGTGTTGATAAGAGGGTGATGCCAACATGCTCCCTGATGATGTGTTCGAGGGAATATCATCGGGGCACTTCCGTGGCGCGGTTCGCTCATGTCCTGGGCGCGCGCGCATCGCCGGTGGCCAGACTAGTCCCGTCGATTTCTTTGTCATCGGCAGCGTGCTCGGCAACTGGGTCAAGGGCGCGGCCAATGTTGACTGCGACGATTGTTTTGTTTGTTTGTTTGTTTGTTTGGTTGTTTGTTTGTTTGTTTGTTTGTTTGTTGTTTGTTTTTGTTTTTTTCCCCCTGCACTTATGGAGCTGGCGCTAGATGCTGGTCAAGTGTTGATGCGGGTCCAAGTGCCCTGCCAGTGTCTCCCAGTTCATCAGCAGACGGGCCTGCCAGCCCCAATCGAGCATCTCGAGGGTTTCCTTGAGAACCGCGGAGGGGTTCAAGAGCTCAGTTCCCGGCTTTGGGGGGGAGGGGGGGGGGGGGGGGGCGGCAAGCTCGCGGCCCGCGGTTGTTGGACAGAGCGCGCTCAGCATTTGCCTGGGCATCTTGGACCGAGCTGGGGCAAGCCGCGGGCTCCAGCGCGCAGGGGCTGGGGGCGGGGGGGGGGCTGACCGCGGCAGTGCGCTTGGAAAAGCTTCTCGCAAGTCTTACGGGCGAAATCTCATTTGTGCGAACAACCTCATCGATGTCTAGGTTGGGCCAACGACAGGTTGATGGGGGTACACAGTTTACCCAAGAAAACTTGCCAGCGCCCGTCCTGGTACGTCGCCAATGCCATCGGCCAGTTAGCGGACGTCTTCTGGGTAGGAGGCCCTTTACGCAAGTGCTGGCAGGCTGGGTGCTGCTCCTGGTATCCCCCCTTGGGCTACGTGGGGCGCTGCGTGCGTCGCTGCCCCGTCCAGAGGATTGGGCGCCCTCCCTGATTCCATCCAGTTTGCATTGGAAGGAGGGGCCAAGATGGCCCGCGAGTTCTTGGGAGGGGAGCCAGGTCAGAGGCCCGAACCCAAGTGGCAGGCCCCGGGGGCCCCTCTTGTTATAGCTTTGCTTTCGGTCCAGGCGCGCTCGGAAGCCCAGGAGGAAGTTCGGAAGCTGGCCTGGCATGCGGGTTGCGTGCCGCCTGCGTTGCGGGGACCCACGGGGTCTCCTGTGGTTGTCCCCGGCCTGGCGTCAGTCGCTCATATCAGGGCGCGTTCTAGAATGTTCAAGACTGCCACCCGTCGACCAGACGGGTGGCGCCCTAAGCAGTACAGTTTTGTTGCATGATCGTGCTTTATACTGCGTCTCGTTGTCGCTGCGCGCGGTCGGCGCGGTCGGTAACTTTCCAATAGGCATGCGGCGTTTAGATGTTTTTCTGGCCCCCATGGAGGAAGGGGAAGGGGGTGGCTGGAGACCAATGGGCCATCGTGAATATATCCCCAGGCTGTTCGGGGCGGCGCAGAAACGAAGAACCGGGGCTCGGGAGTGGGATTTCGGCATGGGGGGGGGTTGCCATTCAGGCGCGCGCCATTCGATTCGGTCTGGAGGTCTCTGTTCGAGCTTAATGGGGATCGGGGGCGAGGCTCTAGATTCTTCACCTCTTGGGGGGCGCAAAGAAGTCTTACGAGCGCGCTCGTAACGGGGCAGCTTCGTGAATTTGCCGGGCTGTCTAGCCGCCCTCTCGACCTTGCCGATGTCGCCCCCGCTCCGCGCGGGTCGGCTCGCTCGCTGCTGCGCGACGGTATAATCTCTGACGACCTCTGCAGCGCAACCACGTTTGGAGCAAAGTTTCACCTCGTGCCAGGATTGGAGCAGCGCGCGCTTCTCTGAACAGAGCAGACGTCCCAGAGTTTACGCATAGATGGTTTGTTTTCCAAGTTCGGGGGGAGTTGATTGATTGGGTTTGTGACGACATGTAAAGTCTGGCAGGCAGCGTGTCAAGGTACCTCCAGGAGACCCCCGCCTCCTCTTGGTCATCGAGAAATTTGGTTCGACGACCACCAGCCCCCAGCTTTTGCGCCAGGCTGAGCAAGTTTTGGGAAAGCTGAGTGGGGCAGGCGCGCGCGGTGTCGCTCGCCTTGGGGGGGGGTTCCGCTTGGGGCAAGGCCCGTGTGGGCCTTTTGGTTTGAAAGGTTCGGTGGGGGCGCGTTCGGAAATTTCACCAGCGCAGGAGGGAGTTGCAGGCTCTCCAGATCCAAGCAAGTCTGGGGGCTGCATGTTTCAAACCATTTTGAAACCTGCCCTCATTCATAGGGGGGAGGTTATCGGATACCCCCCGCGCCAGGTGAAGCAGTGTCATTGCTATTCGCGCAGGCGCGATTGACTTGGTTTGGGCTTGTTCTGGGGAGAAGGACTTGGATGTTTGGACCACTGATCTGGTGCGCTGAGGAATGGTGCATGCTATCGGCACCCCCAAGGCACGATGGGCAGCGTGTGCGCGGAGACGCCCTGTGTGCAAGCATCCCCAGCCACGCGTTTCACTCTGCTTTGCGCCGTCTTTTGGAAGCCCTCACGAAGAGGGTCAGATTTCGGGCGCGATTCTCTGGGCGCTCGAAGCGGGGTGGGGCATCCAAGGGCCTGCTAGTTTTCGAGACTGTCGAGGGGCGGAAGTAATGCTCACCGCGCGCAGTCCTGCGTACGTGCGCGAACATGTTGTGGGTCAGCTTAAGCCAGCGCTGATTCGACGAGCGATGGAGGAGCATCCGTCGCTCAGGACCTGGATGGTTGGTCCGATATCCAATATCGAGGGCTGTTGTGGGAACTCGCTCGCAAGGCTCTTGCCTTCCGCCGAGCACTTTTGTTCCGCCAGGTTTTCTGCGACTGCCTACCCGCCGGAGACGAAGTCTGCAGTTGGGGTTTCCAGCTCGATGAGAATTGCGTTTGCCGTGGCCCCCCAGACACGGTGTGGCGCCGAGTCTGGATGTGCAGCCTTAGTCAGGGGGCGAGCGAGGCTGAGCTGGGCCCTACGGTCCGTCTGGCGGTGGGGGCTGGAGATGGACATCCTCTCTTCACGTTCGGATGGGCGGCTTGTCTGGAGTCTGGAGCTGGCCGCCCCGAATTCGAGCTGGCACATGCGAAACCCCGTCGAGCTTTTTTCTTTCTCTCCAGGGGCTCGGCTGTTTTCTGACGGGAGCTGCATCCACCCTCGTTTTGTGTGGACCCTGGCCCGTGCAGTGTGTGCTGTTGCCCAGGTGGATGACGCTGGCAGGCTAGTTGAAGGTTTGCGCGGTGGCGTTCCATTCGCTCTCTCCCAGACAGCTGTATCGGGGGAGCGCGCTGGAGCGGTCTTGGCTTGTGTACCCAGTGGGGATGCCATGGGGGCACCCGAGTTCCATGCTGATTGCCAGGCTCTGGTAGGCCGCCCAGTGGTATTTTTCGTCCTAAGTGCAGCCTGGGTCATTTCTGGAGGACCATGAGCCGTGTGATGGGGCCTGGCCGTGTGGCTCGTTCGGTTCATGGAAAAGCCCGCAGAGATGAATTCCAGGCCGTGGATGACAACGATGCCCTCTGCATTGCAGGCAACAGGCTTGCATGTCATCATGCCAGGAGAGCTGCGCACGAAAACTCCTTTTCGATGAGCGAACCCGAGACCATTCAGCTTGCTCTCCTGGCTCATCTTGAGCGGGCAAAGGGGCATGGCTAAGTGTTTGGCAGAGTGGCCGGCTGTCCAGGATCAAGTCGGTGAGATCTGTAGGAGCGCGGTTGAGCGGAAGCTTAAAGATACCCCCTCCCCTTCCCCACGATTTTGTTTGGCGGAGCTCGGCGCCGACATGGCGGTGCAAACGCTGTCTTAGGCGTGTTGGCCCAGGGACCAGTTGTCCGGCGCTCAACCCAACCCTTTTAGATTCGGTTTTGTCTGGCACCTACCAGGGGCGTGCGTTTCAGGTGAGCTGGATCATTGGCCCCGAAATGCCAGCGATTTGGTGTCTGTGGTGTGGAGGTTTCGCCGCCGCGAAGGTGGGCGCCAGTTGCAGGACCCTGCAGGCCCCAGGTGGGGTGTTCGGAGCGGCGGAAGCTGCTCAAAGGCTGCTTGCCTGGCACCGCCCTGCTGCTGGGACCGTCCCAGCCGCTTTCCTTCTCTCGGGGACGGGGAGGCGGGCGGGAGCTGCGAGAGTGACTAATTCGCTGGTCTCTCTTTTGTTTAGGCGTCTCTCGACTTCTTTTTCAACTGTAGCATTTGTTTTCATGAGGCTTCACTAGCAGCTGTAATTGTAACTCGTGAGGAGGAGGAGGAGGAGGAGGAGGAGGAGGAGGAGGAGGAGGAGAGGAGGAGGAGGAGGAGGAAACGGAGGAGGTGGAGGAGGAGGAGGAGGTGGATGGGGGGGGGAGGAGGAGGAGGAGGAGGAAAACGCCTTTTTCGAGCGCCTCCGGGGCCCGCGTGGGGAGCGCGGCCCTCGTGCCCCCCCCCAGGCCCTCCCACGGGGACTGCAGCACTTGCGGGGGATCGGCCCGGGGGGGGACGCATCGATCCCAAAAGGCCCACTGATCGCAGACGGGGGCCCGTTAGCCCTGAACTGCCCAGGAGCGCGCGCGTTCACTGTCGGGGGCCTGTCGCCGATCTGCTGGCGATGCATCGCCCATTCCACGTCGATGTCCCCCCCCTGGAGGATTTCTCCGAAAACGCTTGGGCGACCCGTCCTCCCCCTCTTCTTCCTCCTCCCCTCCTCCCCCTCCTCCGCCCCCTGCTTCCCTTACCCCTCCTCCACCTTCTCCTCCTCCTTCTCCTTTTCCTCCTCCTCCTCCTCCTCCTCCTCTTCCTCCTCCTCCTCCTCCCCCTCCTCCCCCTCAACCTCCTCCTCCTGCTCCTCCTCCTCCTTCTCCTCCTCTTCCTCTTCCTCCTCCTCCTCCTCCTCCTCCTCTCCTCCTCCTCCTCCTCCTCCTCCTCCTCCTCCTCCTCCTCCTCCATCTCCTCCTCCTTCTCCTCCCTCTCCTTCTCCTCCTCCTCCTCCTCTTCCTCGTTCTCTTCCCCCTCTTCCACCTCCTCAACCCCTCCTCCTCCTCCTCCTCCTCCTCCTCCTCCTCCTCCTCCTCCTCCTCCTCTCCTCCTCCTCCACTCCTCCCCGTCCTTCACATCCTCCTCCCTCTCCTGCTCGTCCTGCTCCTCCTCCCTCTCCTCCTCCTCTTTCTCCTCCTCCGCCTCCTCCTCCGCCTCCTCCGCCTCCTCTCTCTCCCGTCCTCGGCTCGCCTACGCCCCCGGGGGGAAGCTCCCCGCCTTGTAGTCTGGCTCCCCGCCTTTTGGCGCGCCGCCGCCCGGCGGGGGCGCGCTTGTTTGTGTTGCAGCCTCGGCCGAGGCCGGCGAGCCGCCTCGCACGGGGCTGCTCCATCCCCGGGCGGCGGGCCCAGCGGGGCAGGGCTTGGGGGACCCGTCCTCCCCCTCCTCGGCCTCCTCCTCCTCCCCCTCCTCCTCTTCCTCCTCCTCCTCCTCCTCTTCCTCCTCCTCCTCCTCCTCCCCCCTCCTCCTCCTCGTCTCCTCCCCCTCCTCCTCCTCCTCCTCCCTCCTCCTCCTCCTCCTCCTCCTCCTCCTCCTCCTTCTCCTCGTCCTCCTTGGGCGGCGGGCCTAGTGGGCAGGGCTCGTGTCGATTCCTCCGATTTGATTCGGTTCGACTTCGATGGCTTCCGATTCCGATTCGGTTCGATCCGGGATTCCGATCTGTCCGAGGCGGAAACTTATACAGAACCACCGCTTGGAGGATCAGTTTTCGGGGACCCCAGCAGGCGGTGGATATGGACATCTTCGGGCACGTGGGTCAAAATACATCCATTTCCACCGCCCGCTGGGCCACCAGGACGTCGGTTCCCAGTCGGTGGATAGGATAAATCCCCGCCACGCAGATTTGGGCTCCGATTTCTCATTGCAGCCGATTTCCGCCGATCCGATCCATTTCGATCGCCGATCCGACTTATCGATTCGATTCTGGGGTCTCCTGCCAGGGGGGAAGTGAAGCGCGCCGAAGGGAGAAGCTTCACGTTCGAGGTTCGAGTTGTGGACGGCGATCAATGGAGAGGAAGCGTGTTGCCAAATCATGACCAAACGTTGAAACATTGTTTAAACATGTCCTAAATAGGTAAAGCACATGTTTTTCAGCATGTTTGGAGTATGTTGCACACATTTAAAACACATGTTTCATTCAATGATAGGATTGCTGGGGTGTCCAATGTAATGGCATCCACAAGGTTCGAGGTGTTCGGGCGCTTTCGTAGGATCCCGGCGGCTTTCCAGCCGCAGGATGCGTTCCAGCAGCTGCGCCTCGCCGAGGGCGTTCTTGCGGGGGGAGGGGGCAGCCTCGTCCTGAACAGCCGCTGGAGAGCCGAGCTGTGCCTTGAACGCCACCAGGCGTCCGAGAGGGGGCCAGGCCTCCTCGGAAGGCGGCGGGGCTCCTCAGGACCCCCCCCAGCCCTTTGCGAAGCCGCCTCTGTCTCCGGGGAAGAGCCACCGGGCTTCTCGGCAGGCGCGAGAGCACTTCTGCGCTGCCCTCGCCGCCTCTCGCAGGGCCTGCCCCCTCTCGGACGCCCGGTGGCCTCCAGGAAGCAGCTCGGCGCGCCTGCGGCCGTTGGGGACGATCCGGGCCCCCCCAGGACGCCCTCGGCGAGGCACGGCTGCAGCAGCCGCGCCTCTGGAGCGCATCCTCGGGCTGGAACGCCGCCGAGAGCCGTCGGGAGCGCCCGAACGCCTCGAGCCTCAAGCCCGAAGCTTCGCCCCCCCCCCCCCCCGCCCTCGGCGCGCCTCCTCCTCCTCCGCCTCCTCCTCCTCCTCCTCCTCCTCCTCCTCCCCCTCCTCCCCCTCCTCCTCTCCTCCAGGGCCAGGGACACGGAGGGGAGGAAGCGGGAATCCTGCAGCTCCTTGGAGGAGCCACCGTCCCAGCGGCACCGTGTTACCTTCTCTCCGATTGTTGCCGCTTTCACGGCTGATAGTTCCGAGCTCGCTGCTGCCACGCAGCGAGCCAGCTCCAGGGAAGGCGCTCCACCTCGTCGTGGTGAGGTCGACCCCTCGGCGATCCGTCCGCGGGAAGGGCCCGCCTTTCTCCCCGATCGCAAAAGACACCGCACGGGGATCGGTCGAAACGATCGGCCCAAGGAGGCTGATTATACTACCCCTGCCGCCTTCGTCCCCAGGACGGGCATCGTGCCCGCTGTGGCCGCCCGAGGCCACATATTGTGGGTCTTGCGGATTTTATTCCACGGGAACTGCGGGTCACCTTCTTGTAAATTGCGACGCGGATGATAATCGCATTTCTGATAGGGCTGCCCGCAATCGGACACTTTTTCTTTCTGGCCGCCACCCTGCCGATGAAGGGCTGGATGGATGTCATGTTTTTTCGGTGCCCAGGCCTTTTCAGGCCACGGATCCCGAAGTTCACTGGCTGCGGCTCCTCGTGGAGCCCAGCTACCCAGGGCCTGTTGCGCACGAAACCCCGTAAGTAGTGCTTGGCGGACCGTTTCATATTCCATACCAGCATAACAATTTTGTGCTCCGCACCCTGGCCGCGATCCCTCGGGTGGGCTGGTGTGCGATTGGAGCTTCGAGGGAGACCCAATTGGCCCCCCTCTGCTGTTGTGCCCGCATGTGCCACTGATGCGGCGGCGCCAATGCAGAGTCTTATCCTCCTGCTCCCCCTCCTCCTCCTCCTCCCCCTCCTCCTCCTCCTCGTCCTCCTTCTCCTCTTCTTCCCCCTCCTCCCCCTCCCACTCCTCCTTCTCCTCCCCCTCCCACTCCCCCCCCCCTCCCCTCCCCCCCTCCTCCTCCTCCTCCTCCCCTCCTCCCCCTCCTCCTCCCCCTCCCACTCCTCATCCCTCCTCCTCCCCTCCTCCTCCTCCTCCTCCTCCTCCTCCTCCTCTTCTCCTCCTCCTCCTCCTCCTCTCCTCCTCCTCCTCCTCCTCCTCCCTTCTCCTCCTCTTTCTCCTCCTCCTCCTCCTCCTCCTCCTCCTCCTCCTCTCCTCCTCCCCTCCTCCTCCTCCTCCTCCTCCTCCTCCTCCCTCCTCCTCCTCCTCCTCCTCCTCCTCCTCCTCCTCCTCCTCCGCCTCCACCCCCCACTCCCCCCCCTCGGGTGCCCGCCGCTGAGACCCTGTTCGGCAGCCCGGCAGCGTTCTGGCTCCTGGGCTCCGGTCCCGCCCTCGTCGCGCAGCTGTTTTGTGCGCGGCCCCACCACGCGAGGCGCGGAGAGCGACACAAAGGAAGCTCCTCCTGCTCCGCCTCCTCCGCCTCCTTCCTCCTCTTCCGCCTCCTCCCCCTCCTCCACCTCCTCAAGCTTCTCCTTCCCCTCCTCCTCCTCCTCCTCCTCCTCTCCTCCTCCTCCTCCCCCAGCTCCTCCCCATCCTCCACCTCCTGCTCCCTCTCTTGCTCCTCCTGCTCCTCCTCCTCCTCCTCCTCCTCCTCCTCCGCCTCCTCCTCCTCCTCCTCCGCCTCTTCCTCCTCCGAAGGAGACATGTCTTCCCCGATGCAATGTATCGTAGATCTCCCGCGGCGGATCCAGGCCATTTGCCAGATGGTAACGTTGCGAGTGCATCGTGGAACGCGCTTGCCCACCACAGCTGGCACGAGGGCTGATAACAATCATGGGCTTTTGGATGGAGTACCCGTATGTTCTTCGCCGTGGACCCTCAGTCTTGAATTGCTTTTCGTGTTGGATTGATCTGTATACATATATATATATATATATATGTGTATGTGTATATATATATATATGAATAGCGTTCGGGCCTCGGGCTCTCGGCGCAGGGGCCCATGTTCTTGATCCGCGCTCTTGTGACCTTGCTTCGACTGCACCAAGGGTGTTCACACTTTGGTCTGTTCGGTTTCGTCGCAGTCTGCTGCGTTCGGTCGGTTCGGTACGGTCGGTCATTGTGTCGTTGCCGCGTCGATGCCCCCTCCGAGGTTACTTTCAGCCAGTGGATGTCGGTCGGTTCCGGTATCGCGTGTCGGCTCGGTCGATTTTCGGTTCTGCTGCCGCCGAGTACCGATTTCGCTCGTGCCGGGCTGCCCGCAGACAGGCCCCCAGGGAGTCCTGGCTGGCCGCCACAAGCCGCCCGAGTAGCCCGGGGCGGTCTCAACACCCTGGCGCCGCCTCCTGCGGCACCCCCTGGGGCGCTCCGCGCCCCAGGGGTGAGGTGTTGAGACCGCCGCGGGCTACTCGGAGGGCCCGTTGCTCCCGAGTCCGGCTTCCTGGAGATCCGACGTGAGCGAACTCGAGAAAGTACCCCGGCTGCACTATCGAATCCGCCTTCCAGAGATCCGGCGTGAGAGAACTCGAGAAAGTAGGCCCGGCGGCATCCCGAATCTGGAATCTCGAAAATTCGGCCTGGGAGAGCACGACTTTGCCTGCCTCAAATAAGAAAAAACGGCATACAAATAATCGGTGTCCCTCGCGCATTTATTGGGGCGGCGCGGGTTGCAGGGCAGACCCCACAAAGTTTGCGCGGAGCTCCGAAAGTGCATGTTTATGCAGTCTTGTTCTTCCTCCCTCTTTGGGGGCTTGACGGCTGTTCGCCCATCGTTTTGTGGGGGGTACAAAAAGAGGCACCCAGGTGAGCCTTGAGCAGTCGTGGCAGCTCCGACGCGAGTCGAGGCAGCTCCAGAAGCCGCTGCGCCCTGCACGGCCTCTTCGCCTCCCCTCCCTCTCAGAAGCCAGGCGACCACTGGCAAACCCGCGGCTGCTAAAACGGAGCTCCGGGACTTCCAGGCCGCAGTCCGTTTACTATTTAGCGCGCTGGGTTTCTTGTGGCCGCGCCCGCACCGTAGCCCCCAGGACGGCCCCAGAGGCCGTCCAGACGGCTCGCGGCGGCCAAGAGTCATGGATTCCTCCAGGGCTGTGCTGTTGCTGCCTGATGTTCAGGCCCCTGCGGTTTTTAGCACGACTTCCAGGTCGCTGGGCTTTATGCCGGGACGTCGTTCGTTTCTTCCGGGATGACCGTTTTTTGGCAGCCACGGATCGATCAGCCCTCGCCCGGCTTCTGCCGCTTCCTCGGAGCGCCGGGGCCCCCTGCGGCGGGCGAGGCGGTCCTTTCCGCCCCTGGGCTCCGGGCCCGGCGCCTTTTTGGCTCCGGACCTCTGCGCCCCGCTTCGGGCCCCAGGACCAGCAGAGGAGGAGGAGGAGGAGGAGGAGGAGGAGGAGGAGGAGGAGGAGGAGGAGGAGGAGGAGGAGGATGAGTTTGTGCTGGCGGGGCCGAGGGGTGCAGTCGAGACTAGCAACCAGCGGCCTCGCGCTCAGGGCGCGAGCGGGTGGCTGACGGGCACCTCCCAGGGGGGGAAAGGCGGAGGAAGAGGGGAGACGAGTGCCACCGTCAGGAAAACAACTCTAAAAACGGGAGCGGACCCAGGACCGACCTCGCCTCAAGCCACATCCTCATCCTCGGAACCAGGGAGGACCTCCAGGCCCTTAAATTTGCGGTCGAGGGCGAATGAGCCGAAGGGGGTGGGGCGGAGTCCGACTCCCGAGACCCGAAGCTCGATCCCACTGCGGGGGTGGCAGCCACGCCACAACTTACGCAGGCGGTCCCACGCCACAGACCCACGCGGGCAGCTTCCACGGCAACCTTGACCGAGCTTCTGGGTGTTGTGTTCACTGTAGGCACCGCACACACTACAGAACACAAAGGGGCCCACCGTCCAGACGCGGTGGCCCTCACCAGGCTTGCACGGAGTGGCTTTCAAAATCTGGACCGTTCCTCCCGAACGCAGGCACTTGATGCACCTGTAGCCACCCCTAGGAAACCAGACAGGGTCATGAGAGCCCTCGGGAGGCGCAGCATCATCCGAGAGCCGAGGAACGATTCGGCGACCCCTCCTAAGCCCCACCTCGCGGCGGGAGGCGGACGCAAGACCTGGCCCCGCTCCACGGATGGTCCTGGCCAGGTACTTCCCTACATACTGGACCAAACGGTGGGAGCGGATCACACGATCCTCAGCGTCCTGGTCCGAGGGGTGGAGGGCGGCGCCAGCCCGTGCCGCCTCGTCGGCAGCCTTGTTGCCGAGCCGCCGCCATCTTGCTCCCTCGTCAAGGTTGTGTGTGCTAACCCAGAGAGTGATTTCCATCATCAACGCAAATATTATTTCAGGTTTTGTGTTTTTTTGTGTCTTTTGTGCTTCGCTGTGTGCGCTGAAGACGTCCCAACAAGCCCCGAAGACCGCCCCGAGTCGGCCCAAGAGGCTCCCAGGGGGCGCCCAAGACGGCCCAAGATGGCGCCAAGACGGCCCAAGAGGCTCCCAAGAGGCCCCAGAAGGCACCAAAGAGGTTCCAAGAGGCCCCCTAGACGCCCCAGGAGGCCCCGAAAAAGGCCCCCATGAAGCTTCGAAGCTGCTTCCAACAGGCCCACGAGAAGCCCCCCCAAGAAAACCCAGCGAACATCAAATAGGACTCATTCCCACAACCCAGGCACGGTGGCGGGATATGCCGAAGGCAAGTAGATCCGCCGCCCCCTGTTGATTTATCACAGGGGTGCCTGGCGCGCTAGACTTGTTAGGGTTTGGTTTTGGTTCTTTTCCAAAAGAACTCCCCCTGGGACTCCGGCGCGTCCCGCCGGGGTCCCGGGAGGATTGCCAAGGACCTCAATTCCCCAATTTCCTGCCCAAGACGGCTCCAAGATGGTCTCCAACATGCCTCCAAGACGGCCAGGATGGCCTCCAAGACGGCTAAGATGGCCTTAAGATGCCTCCAAGACGGCCCAAGATGTACCCAAGACGGCCTAAGATAGCCTCAAAATGGCCCAAGGCGGCCCAAGAGGCCCCTAAGAGGTCTCCAAGACAGCCCAAGAGGCCTTCAAGACGTCCTCCAGGAGGGCCCGAAGAGGCCAAACTCATTTATTTCTTAAGATGTTTGAAAGATTTTGGCATTTTCGCCTATTCGGCCTTCAGATGGCTCAAGACGGCCCAAGAGGCCCCCAAGGTCGCCCCAAGATCGCCCACGAGGCCTCCAAGATGACCCCATGACGGCCCAAGAGGCCGCCAAGACGGCCCGAAGAGGGCCCCAAGACGGCCCAAGAGGCCTCCAAGACGCCCAAGATGGCCTCCAAGACGGCTAAGATGGCCCCGAGAGAGCCCAAGATGGCTCCAAAATGTCTCCAAGACGGCCCAAAATGCGCCCAAGACGGCCCAAGATGGCGTCAAGATTGCCCAAGACGTCCCAAGATGCCCCCAAGAGGCCTCCAAGACGGCCCAACAGTCCTCCAAGAGGACCTCCAGGAAAGCCCGAAGAGGCCAAATTCTCTGATTTCCCTAAAGTTTTTGAAGGATGTTGGCGTTTGCTCCACTTCGGCCTTCCGACGGCCCAAGACGGCACACGAGGCCCTCAACATGGCCCCAAGAGCGCCCAAGGACCTCCAAGATGGTTCCAGGACGACCCAAGAGGCCCCCAAGGCTGCCCCAAGAGGGCTCCAAGACGGTCCTGGATGGCCGCCAAGACGGCCAAGATGGACCAAGATGGCTTACAAGATGTCTCCAAGACGGCCAAGATGGCCCCAAGCGATCCCAAGATGGCCCCAAGATGTCACCAAGACGGCCCAAGATGCACCCAAGACGAGAATGCCTCGAGGGACCCCGAAAAGGCATCCTCCCCCTTCTCCTCTTTCCTCCTTCTCCTCCTCTTCCGCTTCCTACCCCACTCGTTCCCCGAAGGCTTTCCCAACCGATTCGGGGAACACATGGCCGATACCTTGGCATACCTCTGGCCACATCTGTCGGCCACATAAGGGCTTCCACAAGAGCAGGGGGCGGCGGTGATTCGCCGTAGGCGTCTTGGATAAATCCATCAGACAAGTATCGATTGGAGACGTGATCTACCCGTGGAGGCGCAAGAAAAGACATGGTGATTCACACATTCGAAACGCTGCCCGAAAACACTACATAATAATAACAATCCCATTGTGATCGTATCGCGTTGGCAACGTAGTTTATCATATCAAGTGAATTCTACAACAACGTAAGGCAGATCATGGTAACACCTTACCCGTGTCCTCCTCCTCGTCAACGCCCTCCTCCTCATCCTCCTACTCTTTTTTCTTTTCATCCTCCTCCTCCCCTCCTCCTCCTTCTCCTCCTCTTCCTCCTCCTCGTCGGGAAAGCGATGCGGCCACCACTCGTCCTCCTCCCCCTCCCTCCTCGTCTGTTCTGCCGTTGCGTTTTTTTTTTCTCGGTCCCTGGAGGCCGCCATTTTGTCGGGCCCTGGGACCTCCGAGGCAGGACACGATTCCTCCCGCCCCAAAAAAATGTCGAATCGTACAACAACGTAGG